GGAGGGGACACACCTGGGTGTGCACGGACGTTAGGAGCAGGGCTGGGGACGCGCCTGATGTGCACAGGCGTTAGGAGAGGCGGGGACACACCTGGGTGTGCAAGGGCGTTAGGAGCGGACGGGGGCGTGCCTGGTGTGCACGGGCGTTAGGAGTGGGCTGGTGACTCCCCTGGTTGTGCACGGGCATTATGAGTGGCGGGGACACACCTGGTGTGCAAGGGCGTTAGGAGTGAACGGGGACGCGCCTGGTGTGCAGGGGCTTAGGAGCAGGCTGGGGACGCGGCGCCACCGGCGAGGCCGCCTGGCTTCGAGCGCGAGCAGCGCCGGGCCCGAGGGGACAGTGAGTTCCAGGTGGCCTGCAGGGCAGGCTGCGTTTTGTGTTAGGTAGCTCTGTTAATATTTGTGTAAGAGGGAAGAGTGTCGGGGGGAAAATAATGATTAAAGTTTGGTATTATATTTAACCCCTCTCCCAGTAGCGGAGCTATGTGTTGGCCTGCGATCCGTAAAGTCTGTAGTTCGAAACCAGGCGCGGCTTTGCTGCAGAAAGACGAGGTTCTCTACCTGTCAGGAGCCACAGTCTCTACAGGTGGAGACACCCATGTGTCTTCTAAAGTCTGCGTGAATCAGCACCGACTCATTGGCAGTGAGTTCTGCCAGAGAGTTACATGCAAGCGATGCTTTTGGGTGTATGTGATGCCCTTTAGTAATGCGTTCTTATACTGACAACCCCTTGGGTAGCCATTAAAGTAAATCATGACTGTTTTATAGGCATACAGTCATTTTTTTTCCGAATGAGGAAAAGTGAAAAATAAAGTGTCTTATCTCAATCATCAACTTTACGTTGTATTAATCTGTAACAGCCATGTTTTGCTCATCCTTAAACTCGTTGCAAGAACTATTTAGGATACTTTTATTTGGATTTTCTTTTCGAAAAACAAGTCTGTTTTGAAGATTTGACATTTCTTTCGATGAAGTATGAACATATTTGTAAAGTAATATGTGATTTAGTGTTTATGTGAGACATTTATTTTTGTTTGGCTTGGGGTGGGGGCTGCTAAGGATAGTAATACAAATACTGAGCCGTGAAAAAAGTCTTTCTTTTTTTTAAATATTTCAGTCACCACAAGAGCTGGTCTATTTGAATCAGTCATTCTACATTTTACATATGAGTGGAAAATAAATTTACACCATGTCTGACGACATTTTTAGCACAACTTTGGCATATACAAAGAGTCCAAAAGCCACCAAAAGAACAACTTTCCAGGTAAATGAAAGCACTTTCATTTCTCGGTGATTTTGCAGGATCACTGGTAGCACTGGCCTGTAAGTGTAAGTGTTGCTCAGTTAAGTTGAAGGTCAGCTGTTCAAATCCACCAGCCACCCATTGGGTTAAAGAAGCAGCTGTCAATTCCAGTAAAGATTTATGGCCTCAGAAACTCCATGTAGGGTCACTATGAGTCAAAATCAAGTCAATAAGAATGAGCTGCAATTTAAACACTGCTGTAAGAATGGACATGGAATAATTCTAGAATCAGTATTTATTAAAAAAAACATACATCGAACTAATTTTATGTAGTGATTTTGTAGGTAGGCATGTTTGGACTCCACTACTGGAAATGATTATATATGGCTTTCAGAGTACCAAATTAGACTCAACACTATGCTGTTACTAAGTGAAATGTTCAATCAACAATGGCTGTTTTGAAGAAAAATATAAAACTTGACAAGGTTGGCTCTGGAACATAGCATTAAAGTTTTCTGTTTTGAGACCATCATGGTCCAAACGTAGTCTCTAAATTTGCAAGTTGATTACATCTTTTTCTGTGATATGCAGAAACAAAAGTTCTTAAAAATTAGTACTAGTTTCTTTCAAAATGCCATTTTGTAGCTATTCCTGTCTAAAGTAAGTCCCACTTTATTAGTATTCTCGAGTTCTAATTATAACCTCTCTATCCTGTAGTTACTCTATTTGATGTAGTCTGTTCCCTCCTCCTTAAATGCAGGCTCCACAGGATAGAGATCTTATCTGTCATGCTCTCTATTGATTTCAGGGTTTGGGTTGAATGACTCAGACTTTCAGTGAAGGTTTATTAGATTCATGAAAGTTGTTTGAGGCCATTATTAATTAAGCCATGTTAGTTCAAATAATAAACTCAAAGCATGAGACCTCCAAGTTTGGATGGCGATTGATTTAATTATCTCCTTTCAGGATGAACTAATAAAAGCAATTACAGCTCGATCAGCCAGACAGAGGAGCTCTGAATACTCGGATGACTTTGACAGTGATGAGATTGGTATGTGAGAATATGGAACAGTCAACTATTTTTCTGTTTTTCTCTTTACATGTACACTATCAAAAAAAGAAAAAGACTTAAAACAGTATTGATAAATTCACTGACTTGTGATTTGTAACTACTCAAGAGTAGAACACCACTTGTAATGTTAAAGAAATTATATGCTTGTCCTTTGTCGGTTCTGATATGTACATGGAAATAAAAATCCACTGACAGCAAATTTATAGTAAAAGGATTAACTACCATTGATAAAACCACATGGGAGTTAACAGGTTGTCTTTAAAGCCAACCTTTGGGGATCTCCAATAAGTAGGTGTTATTAGGGACCACAGAACTAAATTTGATACATATCCCAGTCACTGGGGATGTTTGATAAACCTATATATGCCTGAAACCCAAGTTATTCTGATGCTAGATGTCATTAAAAAAAAAGGATTCCCAGGTTTTATGTGCAGTACAGTAATTAGTTATTTGATTAATTTTTATTTCTTTTAATTTGGTAAGCGTATTAACACTTTAGCCTTCTTTTTTAACATATGTTCTAAATTTGAAGTTCAGTGTTTTATTCCTTCAATATTCAATTACTCACTCTGATTTTCTATGTAAGAAAGGATTGAAGCAGCAGTTAAATGGTTGCTGTCTAGTTTAATTAGCATTCTTTATTAGTAGAATCCAGTACTCAGGCTTGGACGGAATAGTATCCCAAATTTTAATGGAAATAGTCAAATTAGCAAGTTCCTGGTTTAAAGGCTTATGGAATTCCCTCCTATTGTAAATGTCCTAGGGCTGTTTGAGCAATACTTAAATGACTTTTTCAGAGCAAACGTACTTGATATATTGTAGACATGCAATTTTAAAAAAATAAATTGATAACATTGAAAATTGCATTTCAAATCCATCAATGTAAACCCTAAGCTGTTTTCTAGAGCTCTAGAGCTAAACCTGAAATAGGTTGGTAACTGTTTCTCCTTGTAAATTCACTTCTGATCATAAAAGCTATCTTATTTAAAAATGTGTAGTGGGGATTGCAGATCCGAGGGAGGGATGTGATGTTCTGTGATCTTGCTGGTTGTGGGTCCTAATCCCCTGCCTTGGCCTCCCTTGTCGAATCACTGCCAAAAGAGGCCTCACCTCCTTGGTGGAGGTGCAAGCAGAGTACTGTCAAGCCCCACCAGCTTCCACTACTGTCTGCCCGTGTTGCCAAAGGGCAATGCCATGGCCCTCTCTCTTGGTGAGCACGGTGGGCCAAAACCACTGCCTTGAGAATCTCCCACACCAGCCTCACCATTGGCCAGGGATAAACCTGCTTTCCTGGTGCTGCCTAAGGTGCAGGAGGTGGGCATAGCCCCTTACAGCCACTTCAGAGCTCAGAGCCTGGGGAGCTGGCATCCCCCGCCACTGGAACCTGTGTGTGCTAAGGGGGCCCTGGTGCGCTGAGTCTGACATTGGGCCACGAACTCTTAGGTCCCAAGTTCAAATTCACCAAATGAGGCTGTTTGCCTCTTAAATGTTTACAGCTTGGGAAACCTATAAGGTTGCTTTGAGCTAGAATGAACTTCATGGAAGTAAGTTGCTCGTATTAGCTGTAGTCCAGTTCCTGAGTCAGTTGGTTCCTGTGTTTTAAGCACTTTAAAGTATACCATTAAAAACAAATTTTTCTTTCACATTTTTCAGTATCTTTAGGTGATTTCTCTGATGCTTCACTAGATGAGCAGCATTCCATTAAGAAAAAATTGAATGACTTTCATATATCAGATGATGAGGAAAAGAGTTCCCCACGCCTATCATTTTTGAAAACTAACAAATCAAGCAGTGATATAATCAAAGGCGAGCCAGTACCCTTCATGAAAACTGATGAGGACACAGAACCTGATGATTGTGGAGATATTGTTGTAAACTCCTTATCTGCGCCTCAAGATAAAGATCAGGACATTGGAAGAGAGGCCGAGAGAGTGAAACCGAAATGCAGAAGTCTTCCAATCAAAAGCACATCGTCAGCTAATTTGTTTGGTTCAGGTAATTACCTTTACTGCAATGGTGTTTATTGAAAATTGGCTTTACCATGAGTCGCAGAATACTTGTTCATCTATATGATAGCTATTCCATATATGGTAAATATTAACAGAAAAAAATCAAAATGTAAGCTTTTCAGTTTTACAGATAAATATCAGAATAACGGGTGTGATAGTTGTTGAGCTGCTAGCCACAAGGTGGGCAGTGCCAATGCAGCAGGTACTCCTCAGGAGAAAAATGAGGCTTTCTGGTCCCTCACAGACGGAAAGCCTCAGGAAGCCATCGAAGGGCAGTTCTACTCTGGGGACGGCTCTAGGATAAACTCCTTGGCCGTGAGTGTGCTTTGAGTTTTAGCGAAAACTCATACTTTGTTTGGATGTACAGTTATATGTTCAGTTGTTCATTTGAGCTTATCTAGTGCCTAATTGAAGGCCAAAGCACGGTTTACTGACCTCTCATTGCAGTTCTAGGAACACCTAGTAGTACAGCCTTGCTTACCACTGGCTTACGACTATTGTGTCAGCTTCAATTTTGAGAGAGAACTACAACAGAATCCTTTATAATCCCCTTCATATTCCAGAGATTAGAGTTATGGAATAATTGTAGCTAATCATTAAAACATTGTTTTGTGTAACCATTTGGCCAGATTTTTTTTTTCTTCTATTTATGTCTTTGAAAGAAGAGACTTTTGCTGTTAAAGAAAGAAATTCTCCATTTGGGCTCTGTTACTTAAAACTTAGCTTCTAAGGCAGTGGTTCTCAACCTTCCTAATGCCAGGACCCATAAATACAGTTCCTCATGTGGTGGTGACCTCCTACCATAAAATGCTTTTCGTTGCTACTTCATAACTGTAATGTTGCTACTGTTATGACTCAGGCGACCCCTGGGAAAGGGTCATTTGACACCCCCCCCCCCAAAGGGGTCGCGACCCACAGGTTGAGAACGGCTGTTCTTAGGGGAAGTTCCTAGTGTGGTGGGAACTTCAGGCCCAAGGGAGCAAATGTGTATTGGGCCTGGGTGGTTTGGTGGTGGCATTCTCACCTCTCACTCGGGGTCCTGCATTAGAATCCCAGCCGAAGAATCTCATGCATAGTCACAACCTGCCTTTCACTGACGGCATCTGTGTTGCCCTGTGTGTTAGACAGGGTTCTCTAGAGAGATAAAGCCAAATTGCTGATAATTTAATATATTTATTTATAAAGAGAATTAGATATATACCAAGAAATGAACTGTTAAATCATACACAGATAAAGATATAATACAAGAAAGAAACAGTTAAATTATAAAGCACTACAAATGGCTCAGTGCAACTCACTCCCGTGAGAGACTAGCAGTCCTTCCAGTCCAGTCTGCTGCCAGATCTTCCTCTATTTATAGAGGAACGGTTTTCAGCAGAGCTTCCAGACAATGAAAATCTCATAAAAGAAGCCTGGGATCTACTTCCAAAAGCATCTAACGAAAGCTCTATGGCTCATGAAGGCCCAGTCCCCAGCCAATCATAGGGAGACTCGGGACAAGCAGAGTTGCAGTCCCTTGTGCCCGTGGTTGCAAAACGGGCTGGCCAACTCAGTAGCAGATAACAACACACATTTCATACTTTGCATGTTAGTGATTAACACCACACAAACATGACTTAGACATATATAAAGGTATTTGTCTGGAAGTCTAAGTACTTTAGGTGTTTAAAATTTTAGGGACCCACCTTTTCTTTTTCCTAATCATCTTAACTTTCAAAAGAGGAGAAGATCTGAGCAAGATAAAATGTTAACACTTGACCCAACACAAGTATAATTATAGGAAGACACATCAGTGTCCATTCTTACTCCACTGTCTATAAGTTATGCATGACCTTGTCAAATGGGTTATGCCTCACTGCCCTCATGAGGAGGAGATTCAAACCCATTCCGTCTTACAGTGTTTTCAGTATTAAAGTGTATACCTCATAAGCTATAAAAGGCTACAAAAATGCAAGCTTAGGACATAATGACTCAAATTTGAGTTTCAAAAAATGTGCCTTCCCAGTGTAGTGAGTGGAATCAAAGAGGAGAGTGAAAGAAACACATTTTACTTGAATATTTGATTCTAATCATTCATTTCCCAAAATGCATTCTGCAAGTTGTTCATGGTATTATGGAGGTGGGGAGAAGTGGGTTACACGTGTTCATAAAAAATTTAAGTGAATTTCTGTATGACAAAAATTCTTATAAGGAAATATGCATGGTGAATATACAAAAATAATTGTATTTAAGCTTAGAAAAACATTTTTATGGATTTTGTTTTTTATGCTTTGCATTGATTCTAAAATGTTTTTCATTAGGTTAATAGAAATGTGAACACTTAAGAGCTAAAAATATCTACTTGGCAGGTGATAGTGTATAATTAAAATATGGTAGATAGCAAAGTAATAATCTATCCATACGACAAAAAACTTACAAATTAGAATGAATAAAAACATATCATGTTCTAGCCACCAGATGGCACCAGGATTGTAAATACTTAACATAAATTTGCAATTCAACTTTTTTAATAAGCATGAGTTATTTGCTGCTCATGAGAGAAATATGAAGACATACTCCTGTAAAGAGTTATAGTCTTGGAAATTCACTGGGGCAGTTCTACCCTGTCCTATAGAACGGAGAGGAGTCAACATTGACTCAATGGCTGTGAGATGGTGATGATTTGCTATCCCGGCACCATGGTGTAATGGGTAGCACATTGGCCTGATAACCATGACGTTAGCCTTTCGAAACCACTAGTCAGCTGCTCAGGGCAGAGATGAGGTTTTCTACTCCCCTCAAGAGTTACCGTCTCGAAACCTGCAGTTCTGCTCCGTCTTGTAGGGTTGCTATGGGTCGGAAACGACTTGACAGCAGTGAGTCTGGTTTTATTTGTAAAACCCTGTGGCTCTGTGGGTTGGTATCAAATGGTAATCTAAAGATCAGCGGTTCAAACACACGGGCCACTGTAAGGGAGGTGGTAGGCTGTCTGCTCCCATAAAGATTTACGATCCTAGAACCCAGAAATGGGGTCCCAGTGAGTTGGAACCAACCCGATGGCAGGGGAGGATGAGCAGTATCCACTTGATGGCAGTTTGGGGTATTGTAATATATGATAATTCCCTAAGCACTATAATCTTATATATTTGGTTATTTTAAAAAAGCATTTAAAATAGACAGGTTTTTTTTCCTTCCTTCCTGATAATTGGGCAATGTTTGTAGAAGTGAAAATTTCATATAAAATAAAGTAAAATCATATTTTTAGGTTTTTCAGTCTAGGTAATAAACACTGGTTATGCACCTAGGGTTAAGCCTAACATAAAGAATTCAGTGAGTATCTGATTACGTGAATGTACGAATTATTCATTCAGGGAAGAAATAATGGTGCTAGAGCTTAACTTGGTCTTTCTTGAAATTCTTAAACTCAAATTTCTGAAAGAGTTTGAAACTTAATTTTTCTTAATGAGCTGAAATATTGCTGAGTAGCAATTAATGCTTCCTAAAAAATGTGTAGAATTTGATTGCCTTCTATATTCTCGCTTATCCATTATAAAATGTGGAGTAACCAGACTGGCGATATAGAACAGCTGCATAGTGTTCTAAATGAATAGTGGTTGCAGAATGCATCCTTTGCAAGACTGGCTAATTTTCTTTCAATATTAAAATGATGAGAAGCATGACCTTTGGGAACATGTGCTTTACTCCAAGGTTTGCTCCTGACTAGCATTTATGATCTTGGGCACAAGACATCTTTGTTTTTAATTATGTTCATCTGTGAAATAAGACAAATAGTCGAACCTCATTCTAGGCCCTGAAGACAATTAGGTGGTATACTGTATAAATGCCTTTATCCTTATTCTTTAACATTTATTTATTTAATCACCTCTTGAGTATGAATACACTATGCTGTACTGTGTTACGAGGACTGTACTGGAAACTAAGAATACAAAATTGAGAAGATAAATCCCAACCCCTTGAGACTTTACAATTTAGTGGAGACAGATACCAGGTACAGGGAAACCCTCAGGAGGATAGGCACCTGTATTTACCTGAGGCTATCAGGGAAGCCTTCCTGGAGGGGATGGTGGTTGTTGCTAAGTGCCATCGAGTCCGTTCCAATCCACAGCGACTCTGTACAGAAGAACGAAACTGCACGGTCTCGCACCGCCCTCACAACTGTTCCTAACCCCGAGTCCATTTTTGCAGCCACTCTGTCCATTCAGCTCATCGAAGGCCTTCCGGTTTTTTGTCTGCCCCTTCACTTTACCAAATAACTTCTCCAAGGACTGGTCTTACCTGACAGTATGACCAAAATCTGTAAGAGAAAGTTTCACCATCCTTGTCGCTAAGGAGCATCCTGGATGCGCTTTTTCTGAGACAGATTTGTTTATGGTTTCGCAGTTCATGGTACTTTCACTGTTCTTCTCCAACACCATACTTCACATGTATTGGTTCTTCTTCTGTCTACCTTTCAGTGTCCAATTTTCACACACATATGAGGCAATTGGGAATAGCATGGCTTGGGTCAGATGTATCTTAGTCCTCAGAAAGAATCCTTGGTTTCCAGTACTCTGAATAGTTCTCATGCAGCAGATTTTCTTAATGCAACATGTCTTTTGATGTCTTGACCACTCTTTCCACGAGCATTTGTTGTGGGTCCAAGCAAAACAAAATCCTTGACAACTTGGATCTTTTCCCATTTATCATGATGTTAGCGATTGGTCCAGTTGTAAGGATGTTGGTCTTCTTTACATTGAATCATAATCCATCCTGAAGGCTGGAATCCTTGCTCTTCATTAGCAAGTGCTTCAAGTCCTCCTCACTTTCAGCAAACAAGTTTGTGTCACCTGTGTATCTCAGGTTCTTAATAAGCCTTCCTCCTGGTGCCACATTCTTCTGCAGATAAACCAGATTCTCCAGTGAGTTGCTCAGCATACAGACTGAAGAAGCATGGTGAGATGGTACAGCCTTGTTGCACAACTGCCTCTTGATCCATGTACAAGTCCGGCATAAGCCCAATGAAGTGTTGTGGAATTCCCATTCTTCTCAAGGCTAT